CTTCACTGACTCCTCTTTCTATGATCCATATCTTAAATATTGAAGATTCTTTGATCTTCATCCTTCATCTCTTCCCCCTTTTTACTTCATCTCTTTGCACCTTTATGAAGAACTTCATCTACTCCAGTGATTTCAGTTACTCCCTTACCCAAACAATACACTCTCCTACAACTTCTGCTTTAAGTTTAGACTTGTATTTCCAACTACTCTCCTCTTAGAAGTTCACATTTTATACTGAATACATCTGTGTTGTTTAGGCTTCTTTGAAACAAACTCCAGTGAGGGTAATATAAAAAGATGAGTGCACTTGTCCTAAGGATGTAGACATGTTTTTATAGAATTCACAAGCAGAAAAGTTGCTGGCATCAGAAAGGTATTGGGACAAAAAAAAAAAAAAAAAAAAAGAAAAGAAAAGAAAAGAAAGAAAGAAAGAAAAAGAAAACTACACTACAGAACCCATATCTCTCCATCTCTCTCATCTTTACTTCCTTCTAACATCTGCTTAATTTTTTTCTCTGCTGCATAGTCTATAGGGAAGACTATAGCTGTTGCATTAATTTTGTGTTAGATATTTAGACACATGCAGAGTTTAATTTCTGTTCCTCTATAGAGACAGTTTTGTTGGTTCAGTTTGGAAAAGGTGTTTATACCGGCTATAAGTCGGACCTTAAATGTTCACCAAAGGTTGTGTTAAAGGCTTGGTCAGCAGCTTGGCACTATTCAGAGGTGGTGGACCTTTAAGAAGTGGGATCTAGTGGGTGGAGGTATTTAGATCATTGGGAGGTGTGTCTTCAAAGGGGATTGTGGGATCCAGTCTCTTTCCTCTCTCTCTTTCACTTCCCAGCTATGCAGTAAGTGGCTTGACTTTACCATAGGCTTCTGCCATGATGTGCTGCCACAGGCTTAAAACTATAGGGCCAACCACTCATGGACTGAAATCTCTAAAACTATTCTCTGGAGTTAACCTTTCCTCTTTATAAATTGATTATTTTAGTTATCTGTTATAGTGATAGAAAGCTGAATACACATGTTAAAATATCTGGTCATTTGGATAGGAACATGTACTAGACCATCTGCTTTGATTAGATGTATGAAGTAGTTGTAGTCTTGAGGAAAGTGGGGTCAATGTCTTGTCTTTGTGGGGGGAAAAAGTACCTATTCTGTACAATGTCCAAAAGTGAACTCAGTATCATTCTTCACATGTTTTTTTTTTTTAAGAGAGAGTGAGAGAGGAGAGAGAGAGAGAGAGAGGAGAGAGAACTTTTAATATTTATTTTTTAGTTCTCGGCGGACACAACATCCTTGTTGGTATGTGGTGCTGAGGATCGAACCCGGGCCGCACGCATGCCAGGCGAGCGCGCCACCGCCTGAGCCACATCCCCAGCCCGACATGTTTTCTTTTTCTGTGTTTTACAGATTGGTTCCTGGCTTAAGTATCTATTTTAGCTCTCTAGATAAGTGAGAGCTTGTAGTATTAAATCTGAGCTGTAACGGGGTGGGGGTTGTGCTGTATACAGTGAAGAGACAGAATTGATCTAAAGGTGACAGAATTCATAGCTAAGAATAATTTCATAGATAACATTCAGGACAAAACTAAAATGGGAAAAAAGTGGGCAGGTCAACTAAAGTCTCTTAAAGGGACTGGATATAAAGAACAGGATATTGTAAAGATATTATAAACTAACATAATGAAAAATGGAATTCCAGCCCAAAGAAAGGTTTGAATAAAAGGTCAGAAGCACAGCTTGATTTGTTAACACTATCCAGGGGAAGTAGTAAGGGGATATTTATAAGATCCCTGGCCTTGGGAGAAATGTAACAAAGACACCAAAGTAGTTTAGACACCACTTACGGTTGATTAAGATAGGATAAAAGCTTCTTCTATCTTGGACTCCTCCTTCTTCTTTGGCATATTCAGTCCATCACTAAGCCCTCTTCCTTCCTTCTTTCCTTCCTCCCTCTCTCTCTCCTTTCCTTCCTTTCTTTCTTCCATTCCCTCTTCTTCCTTTTGGAGATGGGGGGGTCTCATGACATTATCCAGGCTTGCCTTGAATTCCTGAGCTCAGGTATTCTACTTGCCTCAGCCTCCTGAGTAGCTGGGTTTACAGGTGACTGCCACCACACCTAGCACTCTTGTTTCTTTTACCTCATTAATGTATTTTAGATTCATGACTTTTTATGAACAGCACAGATTATCGTTTGGATGCAAGGTGTATCCTCAAAAGCTCCTGTTAATGCAGGAATATTCAGAGGCAAAATGATTGGGTTGTAAGAGCTGCAACTTAATCAAGCCATCCTAGTTTGAATGAACTTACTAGGGGCAGGTAATTGTAGGCTTATAACTGTAGGCAGGTCCAGTGTGGTGGGGGCATGCCCTGGAAGGGTTCATGCACCCTGCAGCCCCTTCCCCTCCCTCTTGGCTTCCTGGTTCCCATGAGGGGAGCAATACTCCTCTACCAGGCCCTTCCACTATGAAGTTTGGCTCCACCCACCCTGGCCCAGAGCAGTGGAGTCAGCTGACCATGGACTGAATCTCTGAAACTGTGAGCCTAAATAAATGTCTCCTTTTCTGTGTTGGTCTTGTCAGGTATTTTGGTCACAGCGACAAAAAGCTGACTAATATATCTCACTGTCACTGTTTATATCCAATTACTGTTCACTTTAAACTATATCACTCAATATACTTTGCATTAATTTCCTAAGTTTGCTGTAATGGAATATAAAAAAAAGGTACAAAGTGGCTTAAAATAGTAGAAACTTAGTGTGTGTGTGTGTGTGTGTGTGTGTGTGTGTGTGTGTGTTTCCCCCTGAGGGTAGGGACTACTGAGAATTTAACCCAGGAGCATTTACCATTGAGCTATATTCTCGGTCATTTTTTTTTTTTTTTAATTTTGAAACAGCTTCTCACTG